TTATGGCTGTGAATCCGACGGGAGTTTTGCAAAAAAGATAAGTTGGAATTGTGACAGCGAGAAGTGCCTGATAGCGCTTATAAGTCAACAATTGCGAGGAGGACCCATAGAGAGTCTGGGAGCGAATATAAAAGCGAAAATGAAATTGATACCATTCTCGAAAATGGGGACCTCCGGGGCATGAAAGGAAGAGGATTTATAGTACATGAACTGAGCGTATTAACAACAACCCGAAGGAGGATCTAACAAGCCGGAAGGAGAAGACAACAGAGGAAGCTCCTCCACGTCAGCGATAGTAAAAGTACCCAGCACGCAAAGAAGCGGTTCTGAATGTGCACAGAAGAGATTTTTTTTATTAACAGAAATTCAAAGGAACATTACTAACATACTAACAGAGAACTTCATGTGACCGGATTAAAAAAAAAGAAGTTTGACAACACACAGAAGAAGCCCAAGAAGATTAATTGGACATTACTAACAGTTTAATTTACCAGTTTATATATCACTCAGCTTTCTCTTTCTCCTACTGTCTACCCTTCCCATTTCTTCTTTTAAGCGAAATACCTCCCCTTTTTAGGGGAGTCAATAAAACCTTTATTAAAAAAAAAAAAACAGATAGAGCTGGGTGTCGTCCGCATACTGGTGACAACCCAGCCCAGACCCTCGGACCAGCTGGGCGAGGGGGTGCATGTAGTTGTTGAACAACACTGGTGAGAGAATCGCCCCCCCCCCCCATGACACCCCACATTCAAGTGGGGGTATCATGGGGAGACCCTCCCAACAAGCGCGACCCTCTGTCCCCAATCACGGAGAAAGGAAGAAAACCGTTGTAAGGCTCACCCCTTAACTCCTGTATCGGCAAGGCGGTGGGTCAGAAGATCGTAATCAGTTGTGTCAAACCCTGCTGTCAGATCAAGAAGTAACAGCAGCGCTGACCCACCCCGATGCAGGTGTCTCCGGGGGTCATCTGTGAGGGCTACTAGTGCGGTCTCTGCCCCCTGGCCAGGGCGGAAACTGGACTGGACTGGATCAAGGATGGACGTGTCCTCCAAGAGGACCTGGAGTTGTTCAGCCACCACTCTCTCAACTAACTTACCCAGAAATGAAAGTTTAGAAACGGGGTGGTCGTTGGCTAGGACTGCGGGGTCCGTTGTTGGTCTCTTCAAGAGCAGAGGTGCCCGTTGCCGAGGGGGGGGGGCACTCATTAGTACTTGAATGGAGGCTCCTGGCTCATTTGCTTGTGTGGACTTTGCTGAAACATGATGGGGAAAGCCTCTGCCGTGATGACACATCTGTCCCTTTTTCTTTCAGTCAGCTACACGCGGCCAGTGATTATTCTAGGACCCATGAAAGACAGGATAAACGATGACTTGATCTCTGAATTTCCAGACGAATTTGGATCATGCGTTCCACGTACGTATGGCAAGAGCTTTCAGGGTATGCGTGTCATGTTGGTGCTGGGATAGACGAACAGAGGCCCCGGTAGGCCCCTGGCCCCTGTGACGCTGAGGAGGCCTCTGACGTTTCAGCTGGAAGGGCAAAAGTTACACACACACATGCACACACACACACACACACACGTGAAGCTGCCTGATACTGAATCAAGGCCACCGTTGTCTGTACTCAGACTGGCAGCAGCTCCCCAGAGTCTTTCACATCACCTCCCACCTCACTCTTTAAACGAGAGATGCTGGGGATCGAATTGGGACCTTCTGCACGCCAAGGAGGTGCTCTGCTACTGAGTCACGGGCCCCTCCACTAAAGTCACCAGCGGTGGAGGTGAACTGACCTAGAAACACTTGCTGGCTTTTTTTTGGGGGGGGGGAGTAATAATTAGGATGTTAAGTGAAAGACTTGATTAAAAGAAGGGGCGTTCTTTTTTATTAGTAAACTGCAAACTAGCACACAGAATATGTTACAGATCCCATACAGTATTGTAGGACAGGAATCCAAGATTCTCTGTTATTCCTGTAAAGCTGGTCCACCCAAGTTACGGTTGTGCCCAAATGTGGAGGGTGGGGTCAAGTGAGGTCCCAGGGGGGAACGAGGAGCGGTCCGAGGGAGCAGGAGTCCAGGCTGGGTGGAGGCCGGAGGCAAAGGCAGTCCGTAGAGTGGCAGTGCCAGCTCCGGGAATGGCTCTGGCAGCAGTTTCCCCCTGAGGACGCGAGGGAAGCCGTGGGTGCCCTGGCAGTAGGGGTCAGTGGCCAAAGGCTAGGAGGGTAAGGGTGAGGCTGGAACAGAAGACCCGGGAAACCGGGGGCACAGTGCAGGAGCAGGAGAATGGATCGGGCAGCAGAATGGGGTTGGGGGGGGGCTGCATTGGACAGGGGTGGGCAGGTGGAGCAGCAGAGGCCTGTCTGGAGAGTTCCCACGCTTTCCCACCATAGTTGGCAGTGCCCATCCCGCAAGGACACCGGGGGGGGGGGCGGAGGCCTTTGGCTGTGCACTGGCCAGCAGGCCGCTCGGCCCCTGGCTGGAAGCCCTGACGTCCCCCAGAGCACTCCCTAGTTCTGCTCAGCTCAGCCCTGCCCGGAAGAGGGGGGCCGTCTCTGCCTTGCAGCGTTTGCCGCGCAGAACCGCCTCGCTCTCCAGGTCGCCACAGAAGAAGTACCCGAGGAAGTGTGCGGCCTGCACACGAAAGCTCATACCTTGAATGAAACTTTGCTGGCCTTAGAGGTGCCCCCGATTTTGTCGCGTCTCCACCGTGAGCGCTTGAGCGGCCCGTTGCTACTACTTGTGCAGGAAAAGGCGCCCAGCAGTGTGCTGCTGCTGCTTCTTCGTTCGAGGAACCGGGGGGGTGTGTGTGTCTGTGTCTTGCCTCCTTCGGCTTGAAAGGCCCGCTGACGACCTCCGCTTGCCTGTGTCTCTGTGCAGATACGACGCGACCGAAACGGGACTACGAGGTGGACGGGCGGGACTACCACTTTGTCGTGTCCCGAGAACAAATGGAAAAAGACATCCAGGACCACCGCTTCATCGAAGCCGGGCAGTACAACAGCCACCTGTACGGGACGAGTGTCCAGTCCGTGCGAGAGGTGGCCGAGAAGGTAGGCGGCTGCTGCCCGTGCGGCCCCCGGGGCTGGAAGCGGGGCTGGTGTGCGCGTGCGTGTGGGGAGACCAAGGCTGAAGGATCCTGGGGCTAGAGAGCGGATTAGCCGAATGAGACTGTGTCAGCTCAGTGTGGGGCAGTGGTGGGAAAAGGCAAACTCCGTCCTGGGTACTCTCAGGCAGTCAGAAACAGCCAGTATCGTGACTCTCTTTTTATAGCTGCTGTGCCCCTGTCTTCAGGCGTGTGTGCGTGAGTGAGTGAGTGGCGGTGGCTTGACACAGGGCAGTTTGTGGGGTGGCCCCTCCCTCCGTTTGTGGGAGCGCCTCCGCCCTTGGGCTCACCCGATGCCGACTGTCTTTTAGGTGCCAGGCCAAAACATACCTTTTTATGTGGACTTTTACCTTAGCAGGGTGGTTTTTTAAAAAACGTTCTCCTTCTAGTCGAGAGCCAGCAGGGTGTGCTGGTGGTGGTTGAGAGCAGCGGACTCTGATCTGGAGAACCGGTGTGTGTGTGTGTGTCTGTGTGTGTGTTTGTGTGTGAGAATCCCACCCACCCCCACCCCCACGTGAAGCCTGCTGCTGGGTGACCTTGGGCCAGTCCTGGTTCTCTCAAGGTGCCTGTTGTAGGGAGAGGAGGGGAAAGGCGATTGTCAGCTGCTTTGAGGGCGCCTTAAGGTAGAGGAAAGCGGGGTATGAAAACCTACTCTTCTTCTTCTAGTCAGAGGTCTGCCCTTATGGGTAGTATTTGTGCTGTTTATGTCCCCCCATGGCTTGTTGTTTTATATTGTAACTTTGTTTTAATTGTAAACTACCTCAGGCAGGACACTGAAGAGGCAGAAGATAAATATTATAAATAAATAAATAAAATAGCGTAGCTTCATTTGGAGTATCGTGTGTAGTTTTGGTTACTGCATCTCAAAAAGGGTATTACAGAACTGGAAGAACAGAACAGGGCAACCGTGATGACCCAGGGTTTGGAGCACCTTCCCTGCGAGGAAAGATTAAAGAGTCTGGGACATTTCAGTTTAGAAAAAAGAAGGCTGAGGGGGGAATATTTATGAAATTATGCATCTGTGGTGAAGAACACGGTGAGAGAGGGAGGCTCCCCCCCCCCATATTAGAATTTGAGAGAACCCCGTGAAGCAGACGGGTACAGCACAGATAAAAGCAAATACCACTTTACTCAGCAGCTTGATCTGAGTCCAGTCGCACCTTAGAAACCATGAAGGTTTTCAAAGTAGAAGGGCCAAGTCCCTTCTGTCAGAAACACGAGGTGTTCCCTGAGGAGGAAGGGAGCTTTTGGACTCACAGGCGGCCACTCATCATGCAGCAGAAATCCTGGTTGGTCTCTCAGGGGTACGACTGGAATCGATTCTTGCTCCTTCACGGCAGAGCAACACGGCTACCCTGTGAAACTTTTACTCAACAAGTAATTAAATGGGGGGATTTACTGCCAGGGAAGGGTAGGGATGGCTGTGAGCTTGGGTTGCTCTAAAAGGGGCTCAGTGTCAGGGTCCTCAGGCAGGTCACACCACACAGGGCTTCAGAAGAAGATTACTGCTTTATTAGTGGTTCCAGGACTAAAGAACACGTGTACAGCTTGTGTCAGGAATGGCCTTCAGTATACGGGCCTCTGACTTATAGTGAAATCAAACGTCCCCCCCAATGAGCTGAAGCCAATGATTATAGTTCGCACGCACGCAGGCAAAAAGCAAGCGGGCACAGCAAAAAGCCCTTACGTACCCAGAGATAGTGCACAGTAGCTGGACAGGGAAGAGCTGAGAACGAGGAGGAGGAGGGCACCCCCTCCACATTCCAGATCCACGACAGGGCTACCTGACACTCTGGAGGATTCAGGAAAGAGAAGTCTTTCCAGCCGTGGTGGCTTCAAGGAACCTCCAGGCCCAGAGAGGCAGCAGTCCCCTCTGGACACCAAAGCCTCTGCCTTTCCATCCTGTGTGTTAACAACCCTCCAGGGAAGCTGTTTGGCTGCTGGGGGAAACAGGTTGCTGGACTAGACGGATCCATGGTCTGATCCTGCGTGGCTCTTCGGGCGTTCTTAAAACACAGTTTCTGGGGAGCAAGACCCATTGAATAAAATGGGACTTAATTCTTTGTAGTCCTGCTTATATTTCCCCTCTGCATCACTTCCAAAAGTCCATTTGTGTGGGAGGAGTTCCAGGGAGTACTGGGAGAAATTCTAGTGAGCTCCCCTGAACTTGAGGCAAAATGTCCTTGCCTCAAATTGAGTCAATTTGGGCTCAAATGCCAGGATTTTTAATACTGCTTATCCTTAGACTTTGGTGTCATCTCTATATTGATGTCTCTTTACTCCAAATTCCTAGGTGGCCTCTCTCTGCGGTTTCATAAAAAGGTTAAACAGCCTGGGAGTCAAGATAGTGGCCCTGCCGTCTCCCAGCATCACCTGGTACCTGCCGTTCCATGGGGAATGAAAGCCGTTCCAGAGCATAGACACATCCCAGTCAGCTGATTCAGAAAGGTTATCCAATACCAAGCTGAAATACAGTTGCCAGAACATACTCTGTGTAACCCAAGAAAATTAACTTTTACAAATGTGCACTAGCGGCAATGCTCCCTCTAAGCTGTGGAGTCTTGTGAGCAAAATTTCGTCTTTGTGAGCCACTGGCATTAAAGTTGTGAGCCAGCGATTTGGCTACTGCACAAATTAGTTTGCTCTGGATCCCATCCTTCCTGAGCTAAGGCAAAACTGTGTGAGTCGGAGGCTGAAAAACTGAGCTTGCTCACACTAACTCAGCTTAGAGGGAACACTGACTATCGGACAGAAAATGAGAGGAGAGAGGCGAAGTGTTCAGAAGTTGCTGTCTTCAGCCCCAGCCTTCGGTGTGTGTTGAGGACGCAGCCTCCAGAGCCAGGCCTGAGGTTTTATGCCACATTCAGAAGCTTGCCTGAGGTGTCATTGGCTGGCTCTCCACCAGACACCACATTCTGCTCCAAAGTTCCCTTTCTTTCCCCCTCTGTGCCAGGGTAAGCACTGCATCCTGGATGTCTCTGGAAACGCCATCAAAAGGCTTCAGGTTGCTCAGTTGCATCCCATCGCCATTTTCATCAGACCCAAATCGGTGGAAAACATCATGTGAGTGTGAAAGCCATCTGCCCGCAGTGCTGCCCTGGGCTAGTGACAGGACTTCTGTTTCCTGCTGGTCTATGGCAATGGGGCCCCCCGTGTGTGGGGGTTTTTTTTTTGGGGGGGGGGGGTCAGGAGCCACAGCTAGAGGCATCTGTCTCCTAACCGGGGGGGTGGGGGTGGAAACCCAGTCCCAAACCACACTCGGAGCATGCAGAATGCTCTCCAGGCACTGTCCGTTTGTTTTTTAAGGGCCAGAACTTTTCTTCTTTGTTTGTTCATTTTAAGTGAAAACTCCTTCAGTTGTCACAGTTCAGTTGTCACATGTTGCTAATGACTCCATGACCTCTAATAATTTCAGGGAAATGAATAAACGATTAACAGACGAGCAAGCCCGGAAGACATTTGAGAGAGCCGTGAAGCTAGAGCAAGAATTTACGGAACATTTCACAGGTGGGTGAGACGTCTTGGCATGGGTCTTGGTGGCCCCGAATGCCCCCCCTCCCCCGTGGCTGAAGAGAAGGAGGGGAGCCTCTTTGAGGGCCCGTGAGGCCTGTTTCCCCTCCCGTAGTCGCTTGCTTTCTCAGCCGCCCCTTCACAAAATGCAAAACCGTCCCTGTTGCTGAAAATCTTTCTGGAGCCTCGCCCAAACGGGACGTCCGTCTGGAACCTGCGAAGGAGAATCTCATCACCGTCACCCTCTTCCTTCGGGCTCTGGTTGTCCAATTGCTGTACAGCTGGGAGGGGTACACCTAGCGGGTATGCCTGAGGTTGCTGTGGGGGGTATGGAGGAGAGGAGCCAGCGTGGCAGGTTGAATAGGGCCAAGGACGGCCTGGGGGGGGGGCGTGAGCCCTGAGGGCTGCCCTCCCACCCACACGGGTTTCGGTTTGGAGGCAGCATGTCAGAGTGGGCGACAAAATCCGAGGAGGGGTGGGGCCCAGTTTGAAAGGAGGAGTTGCAGGGGGAGCACGGCCCTCCTCCGTTCTGTGGGTGAGTGAAAGCGGGCAGCAGAGGCCCCAGACCGCTGAGCGGCGTTTTCTTCTCTCCCTTGCAGCGACCGTGCAAGGGGACACACTGGAAGAGATCTACAGCCAGGTCAAGCAGCTCATCGAAGAGCACTCTGGCCCTTCCATCTGGGTACCAGCCAAGGAGAAGTTGTGAAGGCCAGCAGGGGGCCTCCCCTCCCCAACCCCCACCACCCCCCGCGGGCTCAGGGTTCGTCTGGCCTGGCTTCCCGGGGAGCACCACCACGCCTCCCCGGCAGCCGGTCCCACCTCCAGCTCCTCCCCTGCGCAGAGGAGGGGGTCTCCCCAGAGCTGCCGCCGCTGCTGCTGCGCCCCGTGGCTCATGGTCGCATTTTACACTCTGCACCCTTTTTAGCTTAGACAAATTGGACTCTCCAGATCTGCTTTGGTACAGCCGGGGCAGCAGCTTGACCAACTATTGTGGATGACGGATGGGGAATTACACTGTAAACTCCTTAATGTTTAAGGGAAAAGTATCCTTCAGAGATTTTGAGAAGTAAAAGCTTTATATACATTCTTCACAGATTTCCTAATGAAATGAAAAGAAAAGTGGTCTTAAATTACGGAGCGGGTAAAAGCGCTCTGCGCTCAACTTTGATTGCATGCTTTGATCCAAGAGGCTTGGTGTTTCAGGATTTCATTTCATAACAAATACAGTGTGCAGGCAATTAAATGAGAAACTTTTTTAAAAATGTGCAAGATAATGTATGGATAATTGCCGTGGCTTCACAAGGGAAAATGAGCTTTCATAATTTCTTAAGAATGTTCTTAGTACTCTATTTTTTCATGTTTTGCTGTTGCTGGGGCAAGGGGGGGGTCTTCCATTTTCTTAAAAGAGCACAGGCAGGAGCCCCCCCCCCGCTGGGGGTGTCTGGCAGGCGGGTGGGTTTGGCAGAGGGTGCCCGGCTTGCTTGGGCACCAGAGGGGGGAGGGCGGGCAGGGCTTCTTGTTCTCCTTGTCAGGGTGGGGGAGAGCTCTGTTCAAAGTACAAATATGTTCTTAGAAATCGGGTTTTAATGACTATTTTACCCACAATAACTGCCTATTTTGTTATAATGAGCATATTATATACATATATATAAATATATATATATATATATATATATTAAACTTTCTTTAAAGAAGCTGTGGGGATTGTGTTTTTTGTGCAGCGCCAGAGACAGAGACGCAGCCACCTCGTCCGATCCCTCGAGGCAGTGGGGGCTGGCTGAGGGGGGAGCGGATGGTCCTGGTGGGGGGGGGTGTCCTGGTCCCAGGCCATTTAGGGCTTCAAAGTCACCACCGTCGCTTTGGTCTCAGTTCGGAAGCCAATTATTTTAATTACTTAAAATTATATTCAAGTGCTGTAAACTGCCCTGAGGCCCAAGTATTGGGGGAGGGCGGTCTGAAAACCAACTTTTAACGATCATAGTTAATACTGAAAGGTGTGACCCTTTTGGCCTGAGGGCAGCAGAAAAGCCATGAGCATTTGACATGGAGTGTCGTTCTTTATGCTTGGATGGCGCCCCAGGAAAGAAGCTGTCAATTTAAACTGACAACCAGGACCAGATACCGTTTCTTTGCCAGGCCGTTCTCAGTTCGGCTGCCTGACTCCTGCTTCCAAACAAAATATCAACGCAAGGCTCTTGCTGGTTGATATATTTATAGTCCATACCGGCTGTGCAACCTTTTCGAGAATCCTTTCTCAAGACTGGACTTATTGATTGAACCCATGCCTGTGAACTCAGTCTCCAGCCCTGAAGCTCCCAATTCTGGCACAGCGTCAATCTCCCTCATGAGGCGTTTTGGCTTTCATCCAGGTTGATCGATGTAGAGGTGACCCTCTCTCTTGACACCCCTAATACATCTGAAAACCAGTCAGATCCGAGGATGATCCTCTTAATCCCAGTGGAATGTTGGTATCCCTGTTCCATCTAAACCCCCCAAAAGCAGTGATCTGCACACGACTAGGGGGCTGTCTCCCGTCCCCCCCAACTTCCAGATCGCCCCAAAGCACCCCATCCAGAGTGTGAACTGCACAGTGTGTGGGGCCTCTTATTACCTGAGACAGGACCATAGTTGCCATGGAGACCACAAGGTTCCCCCCAGCCAGCCATGCAGCCAGCCAGCCTATGAGGTCCTCAGTACCACCCCCGAGACCTCCTCCGCCAGCTCCGTCAGGGAGAGGGGTGGGCGGCACACCCAACAGAACCCCAGGCCTGTTTGACGCTCCCAAAACTAGACGACACTGAAAGCCAGCCAGAGTCCCGCCCCTGCCTGTCCTGTGCCCCCATGTGCACGGAGCCCCCCCCTCCCCAGCCAGGTCATTAACTCCTCCCACCTCCCCCCAGCCAGGTCATTTACGCTTCTATAGGTAACATCAGCCATGCCCTGCCGTGGCCTAAAGCCATGTTGATCTTTGTGTTGTGTAATGAGCTCCGCTGGTATTAAGCCTGGATGCTAATAATGACATAAAGATTTTCGCATTTTGAGTAAGACGCAAGATCAGTCAGTAGGATTCCATTTGTGAAAGAAAGGTTCATATGCTTGCTTGAAATAGTTGTGGCTTGGATATTTTTCGTAGGAACTCTTTATCACTGTCTGGCTTATTCATAGCGTAATACTTGGCAGATTAATTGGCTGTTTCCAGGAGACATAGGTAGAAGGATACCATTTTTAGTCTTCATAGTTGCAGCCTGGGTCAGAAAGGTCTTCCCTGCCCAGCCCAGGCTCTAAAGACCTTTTCGCCAAGAGGCTGGCTGGCTAGCTGCAAAGTGCAAAAGGTGTTGGGGGCACCTGGGCACCTCCAGCGTAGGCAATCGGCCCCCCGTCCTTCTGTGTCCCTCCAGCCAGGAGCCAAAGGACAGACTTCTGACCTTCCCAGGATCACCTAGGGAAGTCCCCCCTGCGAAGTTGGCTCACAGTAGGAAACCCACCAAAGCGGCTATTATGGTAGTGGACCACCCATTTAGGCACTAAATTCCTTATTGCAGCCGTAGAGACAAAGAACAAGAGTTTAGTATTTAAAATATAATTTTATTAAGGTGCAAAGAGTTACTTAAAATACCATGAGGAAGGAAACCAATAAAACTAGAGATCTAGACACTTTAAAACCTTGGTTTCCAAAAGACAAGATGTTGCCCATCTTGTCCAAAGAAACTCTTCTCCGGAGTCCCAAAAGCCAGGCTGGTTGGCTTCAGCAGCAAAGACTCAAGATGGCCAAAGTGAGCAAGGAAATGCCAACATGTCAGCACAACATGCAGGCACTATCAAGCCCCCTGAATAGGCTTCAGAATGAAGGATTTATTGCCCAAATCCTAGATCAGTGGTGGCGAACCTATGGCACGGGTGCCAGAGGTGGCACTCAGAGACCTCTCTGTGGGCACGCGTCCCATCGCCCCAGCCAGGACCAGACCATCATTACAGTGTCGAATTCTCTGCAAAATAATTTTAAGTAAATGAAAGCCTTTGGGATTGCTTTCCTTACTTTGTTTGGATCATCTTAAGTTAATGCATGAGTTGTTTTTTCTAAAGTAAAACCTCAGTATTCAGGTTAAATTGCCGTGTTGGCACTTTGCGACAAATAAGTGGGTTTTGGGTCACAGTTTGGGCACGCGGTCTCTAAAAGGTTCGCCATCACTGTCCTAGATGGTTGCCAGGCCTCCACACCAATCAGGGTTCAGGCAACATCCTCTCGTACCAGGTAGGCCAGTCAGTCACAGGAGGAGGGGCGTGGGGGTGTTCTGCAGCTCACTCCATTCCCGCCTCCCCACAGGGCTAACTTAATGGAATGTTAACTGGAGAACTAAGCTGGAGAAGGAACGTCTTTATCTTGCAGCTGGGTGCAAGGCCACGGCTGTGATCTGCCCAGCAGCACGACTGTGTGACACTCTGGAGACACAGAGACACAGTTTCAGCCAAAATAGGCCTCAACCAGGCTGAATGAGGTTTTATAGAACCAAACGCCATTTTGGATGAACAAAAGTTCTTGACATCTGCCTTCTGTCCGCTCTGGTGTTTTTGTTTCTGTTTTTTAAAAGAAGGGCTTTTTGAGTTTCATGTGTTTCCAGAAGGTCCAGTTTGGGTTTATCTTTTTATAAAAGGTAGAGATTTCTTTTCTTTTTAGTTTATGCATTTTCCAAGAACTCTGTTTTTAAAAATTATTTCCACCCTTTTTCTCTTAACTCCGCATATGACATTATTTGTAAAATACTGTTGAATTTCCTAAACTTAATTCTTCAGTAGTGCTTTTATGTGTGAATACTAAACGGTTCAGTTTCCAGCCCTGTGCCATCAGGTTCCCTGGGGCTAGGAAGACATGTTACCCAAGCGTGGTCTGAACATATACCTGTTTGTCCCTATGTCACTTGCAATGTTCCCTCTAAGCTGTGGAGTCTTGGGAGCAAAAATTCTACTCCGTGAGCTACTGGCATTAAAGTGGTGAGCGAGCGATTTGGCCGCTGCATCAGTTAGTTTGCTCTGGAGCCCCATCCTTCCTGAGCGAAGACAAAAAGGTGTGAGCTGGAGGCTAAAAAACTGTGAGCTAGCTCACACTCAATCGGCTTGGAGGGAACACTGGACTCACCCACTGGTGTGTGTTTGATCCTAAGTGGGAGGAAGCGGCACAAGGATCCGTGCGGGAGTGTCTGTTGCAAGCATGGGAGCGACAGGAACACTCTTCCCCCCAAGGAAGTACCTGTCGGGCACCCTGTTGAAGAACCCTGACACAAACACACGGAAGAGACTTGCATCAACTATTATGCCCTGTCACACATCTGTGGTTCCAGGAGTTCAGGCTTATTCGGCTTCCCCGTAAATGAAAGTGCACCTGCCTCGTGGGTCTGTTGTAGTGCCTCTCTTTCCTCTCCAGCCCTGCTTCCTCTTTCCCCCTCCTGAACACTCCCATAGCCTCTCCCCTTTTCCTGCTTCCTTCTCTCCTCCCCACTCGTGAGCAGACGTAGTACCTTTATCACCTCCTCCCCAGTCTTCCGTTCTCCCTCTCTCCCTGCCTGGCACCCTTTACCCAGCAGAACCCAGTTGTGCCCAGTTGTGCAGTGCTGGCTGCCAGGCCAAGCTCAATTACACAGTGGGACACCTGCAGGGATTCACGAGAGGGGCACCTCGTTTTGCATCACCTCCCACACACACGGAGGGGGGGGGTGATCCACGTCTCGGCTCTTGAAAGCTCATATCCTGGAAACCTCGTTGGTCTCTGGGTTCTCCTGGGCTTGAACCTAGCTGCTCTACTGCAGACCAACACAGACACCCTCTGGAACTATCTTCCATGTATACTTCCTTTTTCCTTCTTCCTGGCGACCCTCATATCCTCACCCCTCCCTTCCCTCCCACCCGTCTACCTTGTGTCTGCCGGCCCATCTCCATTACTGACATGGTGGGCCCACTGCGGGGGACAGGAAAATGAAATTGTAACAGGTGGTGAAGAGAGGGCAGAACTGCTCAATTCCTACTTTTCCTCAGTCTTCTCTTGCGAGGGAAACGGTGCTCCACATGGCAAAAACAGGACACGTGATGAGGGAAGGGAGTTGCAGCCTAGGATCGGCAGAGGGGTAGTACATAAACACCTAGTGTCAGGGGCCAGATGAACTGCATCCAAGGGTACTAAAACAGGTGAGGTGCCAGAAGATTGGAGGTGGGCAAATGTTGTCCCCGTCTTCAAGAAGGGGGGGGGGAGGAGGATCCGGGTAACTACCGACCCGTCAGCTTGACGTCTATACCTGGGAAAGTTTTAGAACAAATCATCAAACAGACAGTCCTTGAGGATTTAGAAAGGACAGCTGTGATTACTAAGAGCCAGCATGGGTTTCTCAAGAACAAGACATATGTCAGACTAACCTTATCTCTCTTTTTTTGAGAAAGTTACTACCAATGCTCCCTCTAAGCTGTGAGGTCTTGTGAGCAAAAATTCTACTTTGTGAGCTACTGGCAATAAAGTTGTGAGCGAGCAATTTGGCTACTGCATAAATTAGTTTGCTCTGGAGCCCTCCTTCCTGAGCTAAGACAAAAATGTGAGCTAGCTCACACTAACTCAGCTTAGAGG